AAGATATCTAAAACGTTTACTCTTATTAATGATTTGATCGCCCAAAGTCACAATCCCCTCACTAGGTCTATTACTACTAAAACTACACTCCATAGATTCCGTTTTAGATCTACTCAAGCGAAAACCTTTAGACTCTAAGGTTGACCTCCATAATTCAAGTTTACCTTCAACTCCCTCTCTAGTCTTATCAACAAGAAGAAAATCATCAGCAAAAAGCATACACCAAGGTACATCCTCTTGCAAATCGGAGACAATAGAAAAAAAAAAGACAGAGGTGGTGAGACTCAATGCTCTGATATCATGAGAAACTTTCTGCACAGGAATTGCAGAGTGATAGGAGAATAAGAAGCACAGAAAAATATCTATTTAGAATTGTAGTCACTTGTGTATATGTATATGAAATCCGGTATTACAGAGTAGTTTATATAGATGTCTGAAGGGAAGATTGTTAGAGGTTATCAAAAAGTAGCTGATGACTGACTGTGCATACAGAGGAAATGTAGTGGTGATAGTGGGTAGTGTTGCTTTCACAGGTGATCCACAATATGTAATCATGTAGCATTGCTGTTGATGATCCGAGTGTGTTAACACCATTAATATTGATATTTAAAAAAATTTATAAGTGTTCGAAATCAGTAGTAATAGACAAACCTCAATGGTCGGAGGTTTTATTACTTTCTTCATTTAATATTCGATCAGTTCTAAAATTTGATTTTGTAAATATCTAGAATAAAAAATCATTTCTCTAATTTCATTCTGGAATTTAAAAATATGTCTAGAATAAAAATTTTATTTCTCACATATTTCGCATTATGATAAATGATTGATCGTATGTGAATTTCTAGAATTGATAAACATCTGATTCTATGATTAATAATCATATTTAGGATTCTCAAATCCATGAAAAGGTTCTCAAAATAGGTTCTTTGTGGCTCCTTTATGGTCTTCCCAGTACTTCAGTGTCTTTATTTCCTATATGAATTGGAGCTAACAGATCTTCTGTATTGATGTGCAACAGGCAGGTGTTGTCGTTCGACTTTTGTCAACAACAACAGAGGCTGTTTATGCATTTTTAAGACATCATCTTAGTGGCCTGGAGCAGTTTCTTGGGGCACCTCCTTACCGCAGATAGATGAAGCTGCTGCAAGTATCCTTTAGTTACATTGAACTCTCTGACTAGAAGCCTGAAAATCGATGGATATTTTAGAGCTGAAATGAAACATTCATTTTCAATCAGTTTGATATTTGTTACATGATTTATACAACATCAATTGCTCTATCCTGAAGCCAACACGTTGCAGGTAATATTACTGGAAAGTATTTTCATTGATGGGAGAATCGAATATTGGGAACATGAATTGAGCTTAGAACACCACTTAATGGACACCATGTAGCCTAAAAACTTAAGCTAAGAAGTAAAGCCACTACAAACATATTAGAAACTACCTTATAGTTTACTTCGATATTGAATTATTTTATTCTCTCTTCGAAATCTTAATAATTTCCTCTTTATATGAGATTCTACATAGGATATCACTTCTCCTTAAATGATGAATTTTCAATATCATCAAGTGACATCATTTGCATAGGAGTTACATATTTCTAAACTTTAGTCAATCATAATAGAAGCGCCTATGATTTAAATAGAGCAGTAAATTACATGAGCTCTCAGAATGAGTTCACTGCATTATTAGATAGATAAGGGCAGTTATTAGTATATTAAAGACTCATCTCTTATTTTTATTATTTATGATGCAAAACATCTTAGTTAAAATGCTTCTTAGGCATATTTTATTTAGTTTGTTACAAGGATTCTAGAATATTCTTGATTTCTCTAAATTTTTTTGATAGCTTATAAATATAGGAGTTATAAGAGGGAAGAAATATGAATATATTTTTGATATTTAACATTATTTTTACTAATTTTGTGTCCTATTTGAAACGCGTCATCGAATGATCTCCCTACATTAATTTATGTGATTAATTTCTGCTTCACATTATCTTAATAATTACTTCCACTTTCTAATTCCCTATATAATTTCCCTCTCTCTTGCATATACTAAAGCCACTTCATTTTTTGAAAACAGCGAGCATCGAGTTAAGAACAAGGACAAAAAGCTTGAAATCAGGCAGGTACGGTTGATCATGGGAAGTGTTCCATGCATTTATCAATTATTTTTTTGAGTTGATTCCTTGTGATGCATTGTCATTTACTATTGAAAGTTAATGGCCGACAACTTCAGTAATCTTCTGCATTATTTATCGTTTTATCGTACTCAATTCTCAGATATTTTAAGTTATTGCAATGGACAATAATGCCTATGTGAAAGCTACCATTCTTGAATTTTTCTGAAACAATATCTTTGAGATATAACCCATTTGCATAAAGAACGTAGAAAATCAATAGAGACGACCGTTATCCATTTCATAAATCTAAAATTCAATGAATTGAATGTCCTAACAACATATTCTTGTGTTGTTTGAATGAGTCTCTTCTGAGATATAAAAAATCTTGCATATTTAATCTTTATCTGCACTGAAAATAGATGAATTAACAATGACAATAGAGATGGGAGGTAGTCATTCAAAAAAAGTGCTAGGAAATCAAAGTATGAGTAACTCTTAAAATTCAGGTTAAGTCTATTCAAAATGCTGTAGCAAGCTATTTGATGGTGAAGTTCTCAACCTATGGAGGCTTAAGTACTTAGTTTATTATGAAGATTTGTTGCAAAGTCTAGCTTATGGTAGTAGAGATTATAGAATTTCCATGAAAATGTACTGATTTGGATGCCATAAAATCTGGAATGGAGAAACGAGGCAAATAAACCGATTGAATTGTTACAGAAGGTTTAGTAGAATAGAAAGGTCCAGATTTAGCTTCTCTATGTGATTAGAAAAGAGTAGGTTCTCAATTTAGATAAGTCATACTATGTGATTATACCAAATGAATTTTGATTGTTGGGAAATTAGTTGATTTATACTAATCATGTTGTGAGTAGCATAAATAAGAAAGTAAAAAAATTGAGGCCAAATAAGTTAAGTCAGTGGTTAAACTTTCGAACCGATTTGATATTTGAGCCGATTTCATATCAAGTTTGAATCAAATTGAGTTAGCTCATAAGTTTGCTTTCTTTCTCTTTCTATGTTGAGGTATTTTGGAGATAGAATTTATATGAACTCAAATTAAATTGTTCTAATCTCAACCTCTACTTCAATAGTATGAATGGTGAAAGTTTTTTTTTTTTTTTTGAGATATTTAGGCCAATTAAAACAGATTCTCACACACATCATATACACAAGACTCGAATCATATACCTCTTAGTTGATAACTTAAACTCCCAATCAACAGACCAAAAAGAGCTGTATAATGGTGAAAGATTCATTTTGATGAGAAATTTAAGACACCATTGATAATTTTTTTATAAATATTTATAATAGAAATTTACATCTTAAAAAAAGTAGAATGAGAATTCATATACCTAAACCCTAACATTAATATAAACCAAAATTAATGATGATAATTAGAAGAAAAAACTAATCTTATCAATTAAAACTTTTTTATTTAAACATCTAAGTATTAATTTTCTAAATCTATAACATGTAGATATTATGGTAAGAAATGGCTGCTATGATATTCCCGGTGGAAGGATTAATGAGGCTGGGGGTAAATGAGTGATCAGGGACAGGTGGAGCTGGGGAGACAAACGGTCAAAGCTGTGTACTGGTGTTCAGGTTCTGAAGAGGTGCGTCTGTCTCCTTTTTTTCTCCCTGCTAAATCAGAGAGAGAGAGAGAGAGAGAGAGAGAGAGAGGAGAGAGACTTATCTGGTCCAGCTCAGGCCTGTACGTTCCTTTCATCGCCCCCATTATTAGATACAATGCAGAGTTGATCAGATTAGAATAGTTCTTAGATGAACAGGACTAAAAGCACAACATAATTATAATTAGGTTAACTATTTTGTTTTAATTTGAGTGTTGAATAGTAATTAAGTTATTAATGGATATATCCAATTTCATTCATTATAAAAAAAATAATCATAATGATTAAAACATTATAATACAATTCTAAAAAAATATGAACACAAAAAAATAGCAACAATAAGAAGAAGAATTTATGTATTCAATATTTAAATAGTATTATTATATGACTAAAATTTTGTTAATTTTGATAGCGGATCTCATCTTATATATTATGGACATATTGATGTGCTCATCCTATATATCATTTGTGAGCTTGTTAGGCATAATATAGACCTATTGATGCACTTGCTTGCAAGCTCTACCGAATCTCATTGTCATTGGGTCCTTTGATGCCTCCTTGTAATGTCTGGATTCAGAGAAATTATTCTGTGCGGACGTCAAATGCAGTTTACTATTTGGAGACCAACCAGAATGCATCATGTCAGTAATACCGAGCCGAATACCGAGCAGGGGGTGATTGGACGTTTTTGGTTGGTATTTGGGCGGCGTTCGGCGTCCGCGCAGAATAATTCCTCATGGATTCGTTGATGCCTTTGCTTTCGAGTTCTCATACAGGACACAAGACGATGATACGATATATGTGCTATGAGGGCACAGATCTAGTAGTGGAAGGACCCATAACAGTGAAGGTCAATGAGATACATGGCGTGGTGATGGGGTTACATAGATTCTAATAGCGTCATTTTTATTTTATTTAGATGTTTTGAGTGTTATGTCTGTTAATAGTAAAATTTAAATATATAAATCGCATTTTTTTAGATACTATATATGATAGTCTATCCTTTTTAATCATAAATTTTGGATTCGTTTAGGACAGTTTTTTTATTGTTTATGAAGCAGTTTTTTAATATAAAATTTTTAAATTCAAAAATTTTTATATTAAAAAATTAGTTCATAAAATAGTTCCCAAATAAAATCTTAGATATTGATATTTACTATAATGGTATTATATTTGCATTGCATAAATTTTCAAAAAAATATAAATATTATCATCCAAGAGGCATAGAGGCCCCTATGAAGCCATCTGTCTTATGCGCACAGACTGGCAGAATAATGAGATCTGGAGGCTCATCAATATATATTATTGGGATCTTAGGAGAAGCTTGTGAGGTCAGCGTAGTGTCCTACTTTTGGAGGAAGGCCAAGGTTGGCTTTGAGAAAAGAAAAAAAAAATCTATTAATATTTTTTTGATATGTTTGTATTAAAATGAAATTATTTTTATTATATATATTATATTATATTTCATATTATTTTTTAATATAATTAAACAATTAAAAAATCATAAGTATAATTATGATAAAAAATATTATGAATATCAGCTAATTTAGTTATATTTGTCTTTCAAAATTAGTTACATTGTCTAATAGTTAGGAGCATGATGTTGATCAACAAGTATAGATCAATCTTATGTTGGTTCTTAGTACCAGTGCAATTGAGTTCAAGTTCGAGTTCGAGTCAGTGATTTTGCTCACGAGTCGAGTTCGAGTTAGACCTGATTCTAACTCAACTTGACTCATTTTGCACCCACACTTGACGTGTGTGTGTATATATATATAAATGATGCTTACTTAATTGAGGATTAGCTTTGTTTAGCCTAATTAATTAATCATTTCGCTTCTATTTTTCATCTATTTATTTTGAACTAGACGATCTAATATTGTGATATAGGCCTTGAACTCACTCCATATAATTTTATAAATTTTGAGATTTATAATCTTTGTACATCTACTTATATAAGCAATACAAAATAAAATTATATTACATATATGATTAGCATAAGTTTATTAAAAATATGAAGATTATACCAACAAGCAAATAAGTTCAAGAATCCGACCAGTTTAATAAAAGGGCCAATTTTAAGACTCAAAGCTGAGTCATTTATTAAATGGGTTAACCTAAGTCAAAAAATTTTTGGGTCATTTATTGATACTCCTAAAGCTCACAATGGGTTAACATGTTGATGTAGGTAGGCATGTAGCTTTAGTTAATTTTTTTAATTTTCCTAAAAAACAAAATAAAATTTAAATATTTGCTATAAAAAAAGAAGCAAGTGAGCTGAGCTGACTTGGACTCGATTTTTTAATGAGCTCAAAGTCAGGCTAATCAAAGCCAGGAGTTTGATCTCAGGCTCATAAGCTCGCAAGCCACTCAATTGATTTAATATATATTTAAAAATTATTTTTAAATTAGAATTATAAAATTTATTTTGATCTTTTTAACTGATTTGTAAAAAAATTGAAACTTTTAATTAAAAAAATCTAGCTTAACAATCGAGTCAAGCTCAAGCTAGAATATTTTTTTGGGGAACAGGGGTATCTACCCCCGCTTCCATCTTTGTAGAAGAGGCGCTTGACAGAGTAACGATTCCCTCGGTCGGTCTAGCATCAATCAGTTCCACAGGTGCCAAACCAAACACTTATTTTCTCCCCACTTAAGGAGTCTTGCCGCATGAGAGAGGAATCAAATATGAGTTGGGGGTTTCCAACCACGCTCGCCCACTAACCCAGCTAAGCCCGATGGCGTTAGAAATTTTTTCAAAGAACCTAGTTTGAGCTCGATAAATAAGCTTGAGTTCAAGATTTGAATTAAACAAGCTCAACTCAATTGGATAGACACACGACTCATTTACACCGCTTATTCGGCTATAACTATATTTTCTATGAAATATGAACTTAACTATGATGATTTACATATATCTCTTCAAATATTTGTGAAAATTAGAGTGTTATAATATAATTTTAATAAAATTCATTTATGCTCAAGCTTATTTCCTGTGATTATTGGTGAGAACAACAAATTCAATGAATCAATAGCCTTAAAATAACCAAATAAACTTGGCTTGATTGCTCTGATTATATTAGAAAAAAAAAGTAATTTTGTTAGTATAAAACTGCTCCATATATATTTATATGATTTGTATAAATTAGGTTTTATTCAGGACTTCTTTTTACTGCTTTCTAAAACTATTTTTAAATACATAATTTTTAATTCAAAAAATTTTTGTATTAGAAAATTACTTTAAAAAATAATAAGAAAGTTGTCTCAAATGAAATCTTAAGCTTTATTTGGGACTGCTTTCTTACTATTTCTTAAAGTAAATTTTAGTACAAAAATTAAATTTTTTGTACTAAAAATTTATTTTAATAAGTAATAAAAAAATCATGCCAAGGCTTCCTTTGGCATGATTTTTTTATTACTTCTTAAAACTACTTTTAAATAAAAAATTTAAATTTTTATCTTAAAATTTTTTTTTAAAAAGTAATAAAAATTAAAAAATTGTTTTAATAAAAAAGCTGACACAAATTAAACCTTAATCAGTTTTCAAAAAGGAAATCAAAGGACTTTCCATTCAACGGGGGGGAACAATTGAATGAATTTAGTAACTTATGAGCAGGACAAGGCAACATGATTTTTGTCTCCATAACTTATATTATTTTACTGTGATGCCTGTCGCTCATAATTGCTCATAGGTCTCTTTCTCTCTACAGTATTATTTATTTTATTTTATTGAAAAGTAGACTGATTTTAAAGAAAAAATAAATAGGGTTGATGTTGGCCATCCAATGGGAATTGTATGGCTGAGATTGATAATTGCACATTAGGGCGAATTATTGCGTCCGGTCACCGGATGTCCGGACATCCAATCCGGTGACGCCACATCACCCAACTAAATTGGATCCCGATGTATTTTGGTGACGTGGCGACACCGGATTGGTGTCCGGATTCGCGATAATTTGCCGCACATTAGTATGGTAACCATGAAAATTAAAGAGGATTTGAATTCATTAAATGTTTAAACATTGAAATATCATTCATGTAATGAATCATTACCAAATCTAAAAATGAAAGGCAATCATAATAATCTCATAATAGCAAAAGAGACATAACATGCATCAAATGAAAGTTGGTCAAGGAAAGTCGCAAAATAAGAGACACGATGCATCATATCGGTAGATCAATAGTCAAGGAGGGGGCTTAAGAGTTCGTTTGGGACGGCTTTTATACTGTTTTTAAATCAACTTTGTAGTACAAAACTTAAAATTTTCGCAAGAAAAGATTGCTTTAAGAAGCAGTAAGCAAGCCATCCCAAACGAAGCCAAAGTCTAAAAAAATTAAGAAAAAATGCATATTGAAGGAGGATATTCCCGAGAAAGAAGATATCTACAAAGAGATTTTTAAAACTATGATACACAACTCATATGTCAAAAAATTTTTGATGGAGTAACACTTAAAGAGATGAAGAGATGAGAGAAAAAAAAAACTTGATAATGTCATCATGAATGTGCCTTGCTTTGCTCCTTCTATGTCAACCAGCATGCTAACTCATTGGGAAAAATATCAAAATAGCTAAGTCTTTAAAAATGAATCAAAACAATCTCATAATGAGACTATTTTAGTTCATCTTTAAAAAGTTGTGAGACCAAAAAAACCTTTTAATATAATTAGAAATTATCATGATGAGATCACTTTGATTATTTTCTCTAAGTCATTATACATATGTTTCTAAGCTTTGAGTTGAATTTTATAAAAGTACTTAAACAAGAAACCAAAGCACATTTTTAGAACCCTCTCTCTATCTCCTACTTTACAGCGAATTATTACTTCCGGTGACCGGACGGCCGGACATCCAATCCGGATGAGTCACGTCACTCAAATACACTAGGTCCCGGTGTGTTTGGGTGACGTGGCGCATCCGAATTGGTGTTCGGACAAATCCGGACACCAGACTTAATAATTTGCCCTCCTTTACACTTACAAATACATACATCAAATAATAAAAAAATCAGATACAATCATACCAACACATGCATGACCCTTATATATATATTGCTCACATGGAAGTTTGCGATATTCCACCACCTAAATACAAAATTGGCAGGCACTACAGGCTCAATTTTGACCTGTTGTAACCAGCCAGCAGGCAATGGAAATTTTGCCCATTTCTTTCTAATTCACAAACCAAACATCATACTATTCATACCTAAAATACCCCAATTCATAACTGGCCTAGCAGGGGCATTCTAGGGAGGACAATCTACAGTGGCTCAGCCCACTAAAACCTAACTAAAACAAAAAAAAAAAACAATAATGCCTAAACCTTCTCCCTTGATTAACTGAGGGGAGATCTATGAGGAGCCCCTTTTCGTCTACTACTGAGTGAGAGAACTATCCCCGGAAAAAAGTTACGACCACCACCGCCGCTCTTCTTCGTCCTCCATTCATGACTTTTTTCAGAACCACCACTCTTTTCATTAGCGCTCGACCCGCTAGAGCTCGGTCTATATTGCAAAGAGTTTTTCATGATAGAATTTGTTGTAATCTGATCATGATCAAAGGTGTCATCATCAGGCACATCAGAGCCATCCATTCTCAGGCTCTCGAATTGAGCGAATGTGAACTCCGATTCGTCGAATCGGAACAATATGCTCGATATGTCGAACCCCTGCATCACAACATGCTCCACCTGCAATGCATTTCCAGACTTCATTCCCTTATATCATCCATCCATATGCATGGATAGGGGTAGAATGGGAAGATAATGTGTGAAAATTGCCGACCGTTAAGAGTATCAATTCAAATAATTACCTTGCAAGTGAGACAGCAGTAGTAAAAGGGTTCTTGCAGAATTCTTTCACAGCTGAGACAAATGTTTCCTGAGCTCTTCAAGAGCCTGGATTGAGGCCTCGGCTTCAGAAATATTACCTTCGCACTATTTATAGTGTATGGCTGATAAAAACATAAGCAAAATGTTAAGAAGATTCATCAAAATCCTCTCTTTTTCAATTTTTTTTAATAAAATTCTGCTTTAAAAAAAAACTAAGATGATCATGGAAGATCGACTACCTAATCAGGATGAGAGGAAGGATTATTATAAACAAATTAACAAAATTATTTGATTTTATTAAGATTAATACTAACTATCATATTGAAATAAATTGATATATTTAAGAAGAAGAAAAGACCTGGACGAAGGAGCAGTCAATGAGCTGTTCGAGATCATCCAATCTGACTACATCATTGTATACGTAACGTCTAACCTGAATTTAATGCAAGACAAAATAGGATGAGCAGTAATTAATGCATAAAACGAAAAATTAGCAGAAATTTTCATGGCATGAACATTTGATTAAAAATGAATTCGGTAATCTCTCTCTTTAAAGAATGAGTAGAAATTATTCTGTGTGGACACAGGACAATCCGGAGGCGAATCAAAACGTGTCATGTCATCCGATACACAACAAACGGATGACGTGTTGCATTCTGATTCGTCTCCTAACACAGCGTTCGTATCTGCATACAACCAAAAGTCAACATATGATGTAAGCAATAGGATTATCTCTCTCCTAAGAAGTTGGATTGAATGATCTGAAGTCAACAAGTGATGAAGATGGTTTTTTTTTCCATAATATTATTCCGTTTCAATATTAAAAAAAGAGTAGATGTATGAAATAATCTCTTCTATTAAAAAATAATAATTATATGATAAGTAATCAAAAGATAATTATAGAAGATCAACATATTTTCTCTCTAAAAAAAATCAGAAATCAAATTATTGTGTTCGATTTACTCATTGGGCGTTCATTATGATTCACCTGAAAATTAGATATCAGAATAAATGGGATATAAACTCTTGGTTGACAGAATGCTTCTTATAAGACCTGTACAGATGCTGAACGTAAAGACGATTATGCCCCTCTGATAGTGGCACAGATTCTGGGAAACACAGATAACGAGGAAATGCTATTTACTAATCTGCAGAGGGTAATCAAGTACTTTATGGATGAAATGTAAATACACTCAATTAACAAAGCTCTATCTTAACAAAATAATTAAGGATTTAATGAAGATATTAATATTAACCCAAACTTAAAATTTCTCATTAAATATGCTATTAACTTATCTAAATTAATATAAATAATAACTAATATACATAAAACTACACGCTATTAATACAAAATTATGAAATAATACAAATAATATAAATAATATAAATAATAACTAATACAAATAAAACTACACGCTATTAATACAAAATTATGAAAGAATACAAAATTGAGTAGCTATGAAAGAGAAATATTAAAAGTAAAATATTTATAAAGTTTTTAATTATTTTAAAAAATGTCTTTTAAAACTGTAATAATTCCATGAGTGCATTAAATTTTTTTAATTTCGCCGAAAATTTTAATTTGTGCTTAGATGCTTAATTATTTTTGGGAGAAAAAGAAGAAGAAATGTTTCCTTTAAAAGCAAAGCAGGCCAGGAAAACTCCTGCAACAAGAAACATGAACATGGAAGGTAGAAGAATTGCTTATATGGCTCAATGTTTTTATGCGTAAGTTAAGGAGAAAAGATATTAAAGGTCTAATTTAGGATAGTTTTCTTGGGTGCACTGCAACAGTGAAGAGATTATTACGTGCCGTGTCCGAACCGTTCAAGAGGCGAATCTGAACACGCCATATCACCTGGATGCACCGGGCCCCAGATAACGTGGCGTGTTCGGATTCACCTCCGAACGAATCAGGACGCCGCACGTAATAATTCTCCGCAACAGTGACATTGGCAGATGCAACCCTAAAGTTATTTTGTGCGGAGCCTGAACGGGAAGAATCATACAGATTGTGAGTGCAAATATTATGTACATATAATGTGTACAAAAATTTGATACACAATGTATACAAATGTGTATAGTACAATCACATGTCCAAACGGTTCTTCCTGTCGGGACTCCACATAATAATTTATCTTGTCCGGACGGGAAGAGTCATCCAGATTGTGAGGGCACATATTAGGCTATTTTTTGAGAAATTATTTAATTTTTTAGCTTTAAGAAATAGTAACAAAACCCAGCTTCCAACACCAATAATGCTTTACAAAACAAAGGATTATGTCAGTTATAGTAATTTTGGGAAGTTTTTCAATTCAATTTATGCTCTTTTTCATAGACCACCCTAACAACTAACAATATTATATATTTCTCCCTTTTTATGCCCAAATACCGCTTAAAATTAGTAAAAAAGATTAAAAAAAAACTATAAATATAAGAATATTCTGCAGAGAAAACATTTGGATATTTTAATTGAAATATTTTTATTTTTGGTTATTTATGTTCATCCTGTCTATTTTTTATTATCAGAGGAAAAAAAAAACCGGATTAGTTTATAAATTTTTATTTGCAAAGCAGCATCGACCCCTACCTAGTAGCTCATAGAAGAACACAGAAGGGACGAGGAGAGAGAAAACGAGACATATAAAAGTGACCAAACAACGGACCTGAAGAAGCGGGTGGGAAGGATGAGAGGTGGCACAGTGAGGGCAGATGCTGGTGCAGCAGTGGAGGCAGAATATGTTCTTCTCGTTCTTCTTCATGCTCTCGTGGGTCCCGCAACCCGCAAAGAACGTTTCCTCCACCAGTCTACCCAGCCACCCCGGCAGCTCTCCCTCTCCCCCCATCTCTTTCTCTCTCTACTTCTGAATATGATTCTCTCTTTCTATCTCTAAGAAGCTTTCTCTCTCTAGCTGTTTCTCTCACTAAAGGCTTCGTATAGGGAGAGGGGACGAGCCCTTCGGAACCACCTGCTGCTATTTATAGCGCAGGAGATAATAAGAATAGCTTATTGTATATTGTTGAGAAAAATAAAAAATTGCTTAATATTTGATAAAATTATATTAAAATAAAATAATTAAATTATAAAAATAACATATGAATTTCATATAATATTTATAATTAAATTTTGAAATTCAAATAAATGTATTGTTATCAAAAAGTTAACATTATAAATAAATTATTTTTAAGGACTTAATCCTTTTTATGTTTTAGGTAATCGCATTATATTTACAAATCTAACGCTTAAAATTAATATATTACATTATTAACATTTATATAAAATTTTAATATCAAATATATCAGTCATACTATCCTATAAATTTTAATATTTCATGCTATACACCCATATTTAAATTAGGGCATTTTATATAAAAGAGCATATTTTAAATTTAAATTAATTTAATGAGCAGTTTAACAAAAGAATTTAAAAAGGAGCAAACATGAAACTTCTTTATCCAATTTTAATAAAAACTGGAATTTAATTGTCCAGCTTCTACTGGAATCTCAAAACAAATTGATGTCCTAATCGAAATTTTTTTAACTTTTTTTTTTTAATTTTTTACACAATATTTGACGCAATGATTTACATAATAGTATCTAAAGATGATATTTTCTTCAACACTTGAGGAATAATGACGGTTTGATCTCTAACTATGGCTGAAAAGATGATAATAAAATACATTCAAAATATTTTATGTTGAAGTAGATTTTTAAATGACATAATTTTGATAAATTTTATTAGGTAACCGACTTATTTTTTCAAAAAAAAAAAAAAAAAAAACGTACCTTTATAATACGCAATTTAAAAAAAAGCGTACCTTTATAATACGCAATTTAAATATGATTTCTCTCTGCTTCAAATTTGCTTTAAAGTTTTATTTGGGACATTTTTTTTTAACTAAAATTTTCTATACTAATAAATTACTTTATAAAACAATAAAAAAATGTCCTAAATAAAGGCAAACATCAAAATAAAATGAATCAACTCTCATTAAAAAATCAACAAGTTTAGGTCATATAGGTCATATATAAATATATACTCTAAAATTTCATTTCAACTCACTTTATAATAGCTCACTTAGGAGTATGCTTGGTTTGGGTTGATTTCTTTCGTTGATTAATTTGGGTGTTGCTCTCGATTTTATTTGATGGATTGTTTTGAGAAGCTTTTTTTGTTTGGCCTTCACGGATTGAAGTCCGGGCAATGATGTGGTTGTTTTTTATTCAAAACCTGAACGTCTGTGGCTTATTGGCAACTATTGGTGATAATTGTTGTTGCTCTAATTGGTGGCCTTTTTGGGATGTCATATTTTTCTTTGACCACTTCGTCTGTGTGGGTAACTGCTTGCTTCCTCTTCTGGATGTATTTGTCTAGCTTCTAAGCGGTGGTAAAAAAGTTTTTGCCAAAGACTAAATCCTGCTGAATTTTGGCCTTCGCCATTGCTTGTTGTTTCCTCTATACTATTTTTTTGTATTGTATTTTAAGCTTTGTCCTTGGTAATACTTATATTTGTTTTATTTTTGTTAACACGTAGATCTCTCCGTGATTTTTTTCACATAATAATAATAATAATAATAATAGCTCATGGAACAATCCAAGAAAAGCCTCCGACCGAATATTATCAAAGAATTCACATATGACCTGCCATGCTAAAGTCGGCAGGCCAAGGAACGTCAGTTTTATAATTTTAAAGAACTTCCATGCTACTTTGATATTTAAATGAATATTAAATTTTAAGCATTAAAAATACAATAAAATAAATCTAATGAAATTATTATTTAGGTTAATCCTTTAGTTAATGCTTTAAATAAGAAGTGGATAGAATGACATAATTGTGCTTCTTAAACTCGGAGGGAGGGGCATCGAAGGGTTAACCTAAACTTGAATGCATGATGCGGTCTAAATGATCAGAAGACGGTAGGTGAGTAAGAATGATCATAATCGTCCCCACCTAAAAGGATAGAAGATTAATGTTTAGTTTGGGACGGCTTTCGTAAAGCGGTTTTTTAGCACAAAATTTTAATTTTTTACTAGAAAACCACTTTAAGAAGCAAATAGAAAGCCATCCCAAATGAAACCTAAATGACGTGAACTTAGAATGCAACCAAAGGTGTTTGAGACAATTCCTCCCTTGAAATGACTTGTGATTGAAAACTTAGAAGTTTGAGGGCGACTGAGGATGATTGAGGTACTCTCTTAAGAGGAGAGATTAGATAATCTCTTTATTGAAAGAATGATAGATTATATGACCCAAAAATAAAATGAGATAGAATATCTCATCAAAAGAGGGTAATACTATATGCTCAAAGAATCATGGGCGAAATGGTGCATGATATTCCTTTTAAAAGGAGGGCTATATAATCTAAAAAGATGATAGATAAGAGAATAAACAAATCCAAGAACATGAAAAATAATTGTGTTGCAATTTAGGTGGTGATTAGAACGCTTTAAATTCTATATGACTAGGGATGTCAATTTTTGACTCAACCCAAAACACGACCCGAACCTGACCCGGAAAAATCAGGGTTCAGGTTGAACAAATCAACCCGTTTTAAAAATCGGGTCGGGTTCGGGTTGACCCAGCAACCCGAAATTGACCCAAAAGTGACACGAAAACTCATATTTGACCCAAAAACCCGAGATTGACCCGAAAATTAACAATTTTAGGTCAACTTCGGGTCATTCGTGTCAGGTCGAGTTGACCGGGACTCGAATCGGGTCGGTTCGGGTCCAGAAACCTGACTCGTTCAGAAAAACGGGTCGGGTTCGGGTTGACCCGAACAGTGCCGGGTCAATTCTTGGTGTATGACCTAAAACCGACCCGCTGACCCGAATTGACACCCCTATATATGACCTAAAAGTTTAAAGTTATCCCAAATAAAGAAAATGAGGGGCTATTTTGATATTTTAATGGGGGTAGCAAAGTAAGCAACTAAATAATAAAACATTCTTGGGATATTGCAAACCTTAAGGGTTCCGATTAAATAAAGAAATATATTGGTTGGCTTAAAATTGAGCATAGACAATAAGAAGCCAACTCCTAGTAAGATATAAAACCAATATCTTCATGCCATTTTTTTTTAATCAAGTCATTGGTGTATTTCTATTTATAAATGAGGGTCATTCGTTTAAAGCTCTATGACGAAGTTAACCTCTCTCGTCATATTCATTTTAAATGTTTCACTCATAATACTAGAGAACTCAAAACAAAATTTATAGATGCTTTTAATATCTTCTACATAATTTTGTACAGCAATCATCAAATATTCAATTTTCTAAATGAAGATATTTTCCCCATTTTCAAAAAAAAAAAAAAAGCTTAATGAACCATATAAAGCCTACGAGCTTATTTCAATCCATAAACAATTTCTTCAATTAATATGCATAATCTACATGATCAAGATTACACTATAAATACATTATTATCAATAAATAACTAAAGAATGCATTTTCAAATTTATATGAGTTTGAAGTCCTGATAACATAAATAATTAGCAACCTAATAGCCACTAATCTTGTTATCGTTACAGATGACTTATCATAATTTACCCCTTATAGTTATAAATAATCATTCGCAACTAGCTTAATCTTATTGCTAAAATTAGAACCTCCGTCAGCTAACTTAATCCTGGAGAACCGTTTAAGTATTATAACATTATGATTTTGGAGCCTGAAGACTAACTTCCAAATTTGTTTGTCTTAAATTAATTTAATTCATCTTCCATGACTATAACCTAAAAATCATCCTTCAAAGTTTCATAAATAGTTTTTGGTAATTTTTAAAATAAATGGTCAATGATCGACTGCTTCCATATGATGTCTTCTAATCTTAAACCTTAAAAATTACCACATATTAAGACCTCAAAAACTCTTTGAATAACTTTATTTCTTAAGTAATGAAGAATCAGTATGTCCATACATATCCATATAGATAACTCTCATCAGCTATCAAACATGTTCACATTCAAGGGGCGCGACCATAAAGAGCACAAGCCAAAGCAATCCTCATCATGAGGGACAATCGCAAGAACTAGGCTATGGACAAGTAGATATTCGTCCTAATAGAGCTTGTCACAAGAGGATCAGAACAAGCATGCTCCTATTCCTAACGAGTTCTTCCAAAAAAACTAGCCAAAAAAAGCCTTCACATAAAGAGACACTCGATCATGATCACCCTAGGACTCATCTTTCTCAACAATGCACCTTAGTTAAAGACATCTATATTATACAGATATCCCAAACCTAGCTATAGGAGGCGTGCACCGACAAAGCCCACGGTTATGATTTCACCAATCGTGATTTATCCCCTGCTCATCACCATACCCACATAAGAAACTCATCACTCATCTAGAGAGACTCGCCACTCATCTAGGTAACTTGCCTGCAAACTCATACTTATAAATACTCGCTCAACACAATTGCTCCTAAAAGCTAAAAGCTCACATAAGGAACTTATGTAATGCCAAAGGCAGGGCCATGTATTTACCTTAGCCTAATCCACATATTTGTGTCATTATGTGATTGTTATACCATGTATTATTTATCTTTTTAAAGTACTCTTCATTTACTTGATGCTTGGTGGCATAAATAATTTATTCATCTTTGATGAGTTGGATAGTATTTTCATATTTTGTTTAAATTACTTGTCCCGTCCCTTAAACACATGCTACAAATTCTTTAAATATCTTCCTCCACCTCATAAGCATTATCCAAGAACAATAAACTAACAACAATAACATTAAAATTATTCCAAACACTTTTATATAACTATCAGCCAAAGTAGGGATCACTAGGACCTAGCCCTATTCCCTATACCTTAGCATCCTTTTAAATATCAACAAACTCTACCATCAAATCATAAGTCCATATCATTTCCTAAAATGATCTTCAAAATCAGCCAAAATTAGTCCAAACTAGACTATTATTGACATTCCTATTAGTATATCCCTTCATTCAATCATAAACTCCATAACACTTATTTAAATATTAAACTAAAGATTCATAATAATTTCTAACTATTAATCTTATCAAAAGACTACCCACCATCAATTAAATTAATAAATAAGGGGTCAAGTGGCATGCTTTTTAGACTTCATACCATTTTTACTATTCACAGATATCAATTAATTTCTTATTTACTTTATATGCTTGCTAATTTCCTCACCATATTATTTTGCTCTAACTAGCTATACTTGTAAGTAAGATCCGATGTCGCCCACGGACAAATTCAGATATAACAGAATCATTTATTTTCTTATTATTTTTGCCATCATGAAGAGTCATCTAATTCTAATAAATTTTATTATCAATATTAAACTTTCTCATTCTATCAATATCTTCATTTTCTATATCATTTCCAATTAAATCAATCATTCTTTCATCAAATCTTACATGCACTCACAAATTCTTTGACAATCAATGTTCTATAAATCTCACCATAACTTTAATATCCAAGAAATATACTATGATCAAATTTTCTAATAGTAAGATACAACTCCTAAATATTGAATAGGGAAATATATATCAATTTTTTTATCATGTCATTTTCAACTACTCTTCTTTTCAAGACCATAAAAATAATTGCTTGTGCGACAAGGAGTGACTGATGTGGCAAAAGTGTGAAAAAGCAAAAGAAAACTTACCGGACATAAGGAGCCAAATACAAATTTAGGCTTAGGCTTCGTTTGGAAAGACTTTTTTACTGCTTCTTGAAACAGCTTTCTAGTGCAAAAGTTAAAATTTTTGTACTTGAAATCTGCTTTAAGAAGCAGCAAATAAGCCGTCCCAAACGAAACCTTAGTTTGAAACAACTTTCTTATTGCTTCTTAAAGCAATTTTTTAGTACAAATTTTTTATTTTTTGTAATAAAAAGCATCTTTAAGAAGCAATAAGACGTCCCAAACGAAGCCTTAATCGCCATGAGTTATCATAATAAATTAAACATGAAAATTGAACCTGATTATTGGCAAGAATTCTTGCACCGAACCGCATCAATTATGGTGGAGTGGTTGTCCTTGCCTGATAGCCTCCATAGTAGAGGTTGGCGGTTCATTACCTGACGCCCTAGTTGGCCTCCAGATTAAAAAAAAAATCTTGGAGCTAAATGCAATTAAAGTTAATACCAGACCAAGAAGTTCCCAGTAGTAAGAGCATTTTCAATAAATACAAAGGCAGGCTTATAGAAAGAAAAAAATGAAATTTAAATATTTTATTCTAAATCTATAGTGAAAAAAGTGAAACTAAAAATGAGTATATAACTTCAAAAATTACAGACGGGCTGATGAAGAAATGCCTCAAAAGCAATATGCAATAATAGGTCATAAAAAATAAAAAATAAAGTTTGTAAAATTATAAATGATAGATTATGTTGAATGGATCCAAATATTAATAATAAAAACATATATCAAATTTGAATGTTAATGCATTTAAAATGTAAAGATACATATGTAACAGAATTATAAAAATAAATTAAATAATAATTATATTAGAGTGATAAATGAATGTTGTAATACCTATCAAAGTTAAATATAGTTGTAAATAGACTTAGGTGCTTTCAATAAAGGACAAAAAATTATATCATCAACTAAATAAAACTTATATAGATAATGGTTATAACATTTTAGACAAAAAAAAATCATAAAAATGATATAAATATATAAACTACAGTGTGGGATTGGCATTTACCAGGCTTTTTTGATTACGCCTATAACGGTAAAGGGCTTCTACTCCAACCCTGCAGTCTGCACTCTGAACGTAATTTTCACCTTTGGCATTTCAAAAACTTTTCAGACCTCAAACAAATGCGTGGCTGATACATAAGATCCATGAGAGGGGAATCACATGCAGTCCTGCCAAGATCCACCTCCAATACAGTGAAATGACATCAGTTCACTTATTTTTTCCCTCTTCAACAAGGAAAATTATTAGGTCTGGATATTCAATTAAAATTTGTTGCGTGGACTGCACTTTGACTACACTTTTTGACTGCGCTTTACCTACACTTTACCTACGCTTTTGACGTGCTTGACTTAAAATTCCGCGGACACGTGTACATTCCACATGTCAATATTTCATTGGACTCCGAAAGTATCTCTACGTCAGTGTCCGAACCTAATAATTTTCCTTTCAACAAGGACATGGCTGTATATCTGCATCCTCTTTATAGATGCTTATTGCTTTAACAATTCACAGTACAGTACAAGCTGCTACTGATGCTTGGAATACTCTGGATACCGGTATACACTTCTGTAGAAGATGGACATTTGACAGCAGTTGTTTTAGCATATTCTCACAGGTAACTGGTTTTGGAATAGAAGAATACCTTATTATGTAACAGTAGCTTCTACTGATGCTCTTGTTATATCTTAATCAATTGATAGCAGTCAGCTCAAATACAGGAAATATTATACAACATAAGTAATCGGGGTGTTTTTTTGGGACATTTAAATCAATTAAAATCAAATTCATGCACACATCACATACATAAAATTTAAATCTAAAACTTCTTAACTTATAATCAAATTTACCAACCAACAGATCAAAAAGAACTCCAAGAGACTTAGGAGAGAATTAAATGTATCCTTTATCCTTTTTGAGATTCCTAAAGACGGTACTATTGTCAGTCCACTGCTTCTGACCACCTCGGGTTTGATGAAAATCTTGACCCCACATGCTCAGTCCCCACAGGAAAAAATTAAGCAGGGTATCCCATTGAAGTTTCAGTCAAATATATATATATATATACACAACTCTCCTTGGCCTATTGGTTGAGAGCTAAGGCTTCTAATTAAGAGGTCTAAGGTTCGAATCTATGTGTATGCGTCGTGTGTGTGGTTTGCCTTAAATGACCTAAATGTCCATATTATATATATATATATATATATATATATAAAGTTACATTACGATTAATGTAATGTAAATTTTAATTAATTATTTATGTATTATATTTTTCAAAAAATAAATTTATAGTTTTAAGACTCATTTTATCTTTTAGTGGGAATATCCTTAGACAAAAATTTTCCTTCCATGTATACGAACAAGCATGCAACTTAAAATGAATATGAAACTTCAAGCAGCACATTAAACAATGTATTGTCAGATCTGTAAAAAAAACTTCCTAATTCGCAAAAATTTCAGGTTACCGTTATCTTCTCTGGCTTTGCTGAGAAGTGACTGCAGGTTGAGTCCTGTAATATGAATCAGGTTTGAGGCAGCTTCTACTGACAAATATAACAAGACCACTTTATTCCAGAGAAAAACTACAATAACAAACTTTATTAAAGGATGATATTCTTTAATGGTCGGGAACATTTCGTATATGCCAGTTCAAAAGAAATGGTCTGAAACAATTAGGTTCCTCATTAGAGAGGTTATATAGGGAAGAGGAAAATATACTGTAATGAAGTATAACATAGCAATTCCTGCAGTAGTAATCACCAGATCTCCCATAAAAGAGTTTCCACATTCTAATCCTTCACATGATTATGATTTGATTAGTGCTTCCTGATAGGAGAAACAAAAATCATTGTTAGAATCATTAAGGCAGCTTAAAATAATAATCATAATGCAAATAAATGTTCAAAATTGATAAAAAGACATTTTAATAAAGTAACATAATTTTTTCCTTTATCAAAAGAAGTGTTAGAAAGCCAGATGCCTTTGTCCTTATGAAATTCAGGTTAGAACCCATAAAGACGGAAATGGACAAAAATACGGACAGCATTTTCTCGTTTTTTTATGGAGAGTGAGTGGAGAAAAATCAGCATGCGTAAAAGTGAGAATTCAATCATGAACAAAGTCAATTAGAAGATACACCCATTTATCTACCAAAATAACATGTTCCCGCACAATTCTCTACGGCACTTCCGTAATAACGGTCATGATGGATGTGGGTCACCCATTCAATAAGGGTTTTTATGAAACAATGACGACGATGTTTCTCCTGCATATCAGTCCGATCTTAGCCTTGAAAGCTTTGGTTCCTATCATAAGCTTATGAGTTTGAGGCATTTTTATCGAGGACTGTATATGAATATAATAAAATATGGTCTGAATCTTTTATTAAAAAAAAATGCATAGCGAGACAGTGCAAACAACATTGAAATCCATATATTTTTCTCATTATCTTCAGATCAAATTTTAATTATATAATCTATGAATGGCATGAGTTTATATTCACTGTTCAAAATTTGAGTTAGTCTCTGAGTTTTTTCTCAATACTAACTAAATTAAAGGTTGTGACATTTAAGGTTTTTATTTTTTATTTTGTATTTTGTATTTTTTCTCAACATATTTTGGCTTCATTCTTCAAATTTTCTCGCACTTGATGAAGATGAAAAGATATAAGTCTGCAAAACGAAATGTTTTTGTAGAATCGGTAAACACAGAGAGAAGCGAACAGAGAGAAATGATCTTTGGTAATCTTTGAAAGGTGAGTACATATGCTTTTATATAACAGTCTACAGGTATAGTGGTAAATACTGTATTTGATAAGGTCTAACTTATGTGCCTTAATATCCCCCCTCAAATTGACGGGTCTTGAGTAACCGTCAATTTGGAGCGAATGAGCTGAAATCTAGTGTTGGAGAGTGGTTTTGTGAGAACATCGGCTATTTGATCAGTTGTACAAATTGGAACAATGTTGATGAAATTTTGTTGTATTTGATCACGCACGAATCTGTGATCTATCTCGATATGCTTGGTCCGAGCATGAAAGATAGGATTATTGACGAGTGCAATAGCCGAGGTGTTGTCACAAAACAGATCAATCGGTGTATCATGCTTGATTTGAAAATCAGCGAGTAGGCGCTTAAGCCATATCGTGTCAGCTGCAGCAGCCGCCAGTGCCCGGTATTCAGCTTCCGTTGAAGACCTTGCTATTGTAGACTGTCTTTTGACGGACCACGATACCAGCGTATCACCTAAGAATGTGCAAAATCCAGAGGTTGATTTACGAGAAGCTGGATCTCCCGCCCAGTCGGCGTCGGAGTACGTAGGCATCTGGAGAGGTGACTTGGAGATCGGAATGCCATAGCTGATCGTGGTTTTAACGTATCGAAGAAGTTTAGTGAGAAGCAGTGAATGCACGGGAGCTGGGTCGTGCATGAATTGAGATAGCCAATTGACTGCATATGCCAGGTCCGGTCGGGTAAGAGTCAGGTACTGCAGCGATCCTGTTAGACTTTGATATTCCATTGGAGTAAACCTGGCAACGGCGGAGTTAGAAAGTTGAGGAGGTTTAGTTGACAGAGGATTTGCTAAAGGTTTACATTCAACTAAGTTAGCTTGTTGAAGAATAGACATAGCATATGCAGTTTGTGAAAGAAATAACTTATCTTGCGTGGAGGTAATCTTGATACCGAGAAAATGATTTGCAAGTCCTAGAGTTTTCATGTCAAACTTGGACTGGAGTTTGCTAATGAGAGCCTTGATGACAGTCGCATTGTTCCCAGTTAGTAAGATGTCGTCCACGTAAACTAGTAGATAAATTTGCGTTTGATCTTGAATGAATGATAGCAAGGATGGGTCCGCCTTGCTATGTTGAAACCCGATGGTGATGAGATAGTCCGTAAACGTTGTATACCACTGTCGCGGTGCCTGCCGTAATCCATAGATTGCCTTTTTGAGTAGGCAGACGTGAGACGGATAGAGTGCATCCTCAAATCCTTTGGGTTGCCTCATATAGACTGTTTCTGATAGAGGTCCATGAAGAAAGGCATTCGTCACGTCAAGCTGCTGAACCGGCCATCCGTGATGCAAAGCGACAGTGAACAGGACTCTAATTGTAGGTAGTTTAGCAACTGGGCTAAACGTTTCCCCGTAGTCAATGCCGTGTGCTTGCTGATTTCCTTGGGCCACTAATCGTGCTTTGAAGCGTGCTACCGAGCCGTCGGAGTGTAACTTTTTACGGTAAGTCCATTTACAGCCCAGAATGGACACATTTTGAGGTGGAGGGACGAGAGACCACGTTCCCTGTTTTTGCAAAGCCAGGAACTCGGTTGCCATGGCTTGACGCCATTCGGTATGCTTGTATGCTTCGGTGAACGTAGAGGGTTCTGGATTGCAGCTGGTATTAGACTGAATATTCAGGAGATTTAGACGATTACGTGGCTTCAGTGAACCCGTCTGAAATCGAGTGACCATGCGGTGCGTGGGTTGAGGTACTTGTGTAGATTTAGATGGAATGGTGGATGGAGTGCTAACAGAGCTAGTAGAGACCGAAGATTAGTGAGATATTGGTAGTTGTGGTTCGTTGGAAGGTGTAGTGCACTCCACGGTTCTGGTAGATGACGATGGCCCGAGTGTGGACGCTGGTACCAGAAGGGATGGTGGAGATACTTGTGTCACCACTTTGTCCGGAACATGCGATGCTTGAAAGGGAAAAGCGTGTTCAAGAAACTGCACATGACGAGATAGAAGAATTTTATTAGTTTTCATGTTAAGGCATTTATAACCTTTATAGGAGTCAGAATACCCGAGAAATACACTCGGTATGGTAGTTGGATCCAGTTTGGTTCTCGTGTGACTAGGAGCCATAGGGTAGCAAGCGCACCCAAAAGTTCGAAGGTGTTTGTATAAACGTTTTGTGTTAAACAGTAATTGAAAAGGAGATAAATTGCTAGTTGTCTGCGAAGGAAGTCTATTTATGAGATAAACCGCTGTGGTAACTGCATCCGGCCAAAATCTATGAGGCATATGAGCGGTCTGAAGAAGAGTACGAGCAGTGTCCACGATGTGTCGGTGTTTGCGTTCCGCCGTGCCGTTTTGTTCTGGGGTATACGGGCACGACAGCTGATGATGAATGCCTTTATCTCTTAAATAGTTCTTGAATGTAAGATTAGTATATTCCGTGCCACCGTCAGTACGAATGGATTGAATTTTATGAGATGTTTGATTTTCAATATAGGTAACAAAATTAGTGAAAACAGAATACACATCAGATTTAGCTGCGATAACAAACAACCATGTAAACCGAGTAAAGTCGTCAATGAACAAAACGTAATATCTAAACCCTTGATGCGAGGGGACCGGAGAGGGTCCCCAGACATCAGAATGAATTAATTCAAGAGGCTTAAGTTTCCTGTTCGTAGAATTGTCGAACGGAAACTTATGTCCCTTGCACAAGATACAGGAAACGCAAAAAGATTTTAAGCAAGAAATACAGAGATCGGTATTATTGCTAGCAATTTGCTTGAGCACCCTATGATGAGGATGACCGAGCCTATTATGCCAAGTGGTAGCTCCCGGAGATGAGGTAGTAAGAGCGTAATTTGGCGGAGTTGCAGAAGTCGATCGCAGCGAGTATAGACCATTCCTACAGGGTCCTTGTAGCAGAATTTCCTGCGTCTTCAAGTCCTTAAATGTAAAGCCAGTTGAGTCAAAAATAATCGAGATATTGTTATCTTTAACTAAATTAGAAATTGAAATTAAGTTGTAAGAAATTGATGGAGTATGCAGTAATTGAGAGAGTAAGAGTGTACGAGATGGGGTAGGAAGAAGTCCTGTGCCCGAATGAGCTATCGGTATGGATCTTCCGTCCCCAACAGTTACCGAATCAGATCCTTGATACGTGGAGGCTGTTTCAAGATTACCGATGTCCCTGGTCATGTGTGAAGATGCCCCGGAATCGATATACCAGTCCGTGGACTGAGCATTTGGAGCAGCCAACATCGCAGTGTTTGCTTGGTTGGATCGGGCAGATGGAATGTAACTGGTATTAAGTCTATGCCAACATACGTCGGCAGTATGTCCCCGTTTATTGCATATTTGACACACGGGAGATGAGGCCGTTGATGACGATCTATTTGCGGGAGTGGTTTGAGAATCTTGTCTGCCTCGACCGCGTCTGCCTCGACCTCGCCGAGTGTAAAGGGCCATTTGCGAGTCGGCTGTCGTATGGATTTTCGAAGCGTCGTTCTGTACGTGAATTTCTTCACTGATGAGGAGCACGTACAGAGTATCAAGATCGATTGGATTCAGCATTGTTCTGATTGAGGTCTTGAATGATTGATATGTAGATGGAAGACCATTCAAGATGTGAAGAGTGATGTCTTCGTTGTCGACTGTGGATCCGGCGGAAGCGATTTGATCCATCAGCTTCTTGATTTCGGTAAGATATTGCGCCATCGTCGACGATCCCATGGTGATGTGATGAAGCTCATTCTTGAGCTATATCACTTTGGATCTGTTTGAAGACTGGAATCTTGTTTCAAGAACCCTCCAAATTTCGTGCAGCGATTCAAGATGAAGGATATAGGGTAGAATCGTGGGAGACACAGTAGAACAAACCGCAGCAGCAAGATTGCAATCTGTGTGAAGAAAATCGGAAGACGGCGAGGATTGATTTGAAGCATCGGTCGCCGAAGAGTTCGGTGATTCAAGAAGATGATCGAATTCATTTGCCTTTAGCAACTTGACGATCTGACTTCTCCAGATCGGGTAATTGTCGGTAGACAATTGATTTGGCACAAGAGTCTTGAGGTGGGAGATGATAAACTTGAGTG